GTAGCTAATTAAGATAGTTAGCGGCGGCACATACATTATACCTATTTCGTAGGAGTAGGTACTTTGTTTACAAAAGCAACTAGAACTACCCACAGATTATTTTAATGCGTCATACTCATAGCACGTGCTGAATTGAGATGTCAAATTAGTTTTATGATTTTATCTTGATGTGTAAGACTTGTGGCTTACTAAATCTTGAAGTTTTGGAGATAATTCCCTGATAAGATTACCTACGTGGAATTTGTTTATTTTTAAACAATTTGACTTGGTGCTTTTCATTGACATCTAATCCTGAAACAATTTGGAGTCAAATTAAAAATTCTAAACTATTATTTAGCCTCTGACGTACTTCGCCACAGACGGAACCCTACAGGGCTGATGTTCATTTATAAGGAACTGCGGCCTCGGCCTAGAGCAGGAAAAGTAACGGTTTTAAGACTGTAAAAGTCTGACACTCCCTCTCCCCTCACCCTGGTCAAGAGAAGTCATTTGATGATTTTCAACTCACAAACAAAAGCCTCTGAAATACTTGATTAAGAATTGGGTTGCGGCGAGAGGTGACAGAAAATTATTGGAATGATATTTATTTTTTATTCATTTTACGTTCAATATGGTTGAATGCGTGTCCTTTATATCAATAGACTTCGTGACGGCCGTTCCATTTTCGAAGAAATCGAAACAATTCGTAATTCCTTCCTTCTTTTGTTTTATTTTAAAATAGTCTACCACGTCTGTCGAAAATTTTACCACCAATATTCTGTTAGCCATATATTTATATTCCTAAAGACTTTCTGTCTTTAAAAAATGTCACTCAGTGTCAATAATCAAAAACAATAGCACTTCATAATTATAATCCTGACTTTTCTTCTTTTACAGTCAACACTGAAACAATGGCGAGTAGCATTCTGGGTCTGCTTAGGAGTTTTAGTCTTCACCAACGTAATCTACGTTCTATTCGCGAAAGGAGAGCAATTATGGTGGGATGATGTCAAAGCCCATGGCTACCCAACCGGCTGGAAACACGGCGACCTCCCAACGAGACCAGTGGACTCGGAAGGCGACAAAAAAGAGAAAAACGAAAAGGAAAAAATATAATAAAATCGACTGTTAATGTAAATTAAATAATTTGTGTAAATGTAATGCCTGTAAATATTGTGCTTAGGTTAATTTTTGTTATTTATAAATAAGATTATTTAATGACGTATTCGTTTGTTTTATTTTGTTATCTACCTGAATAATTATGTTTGGCATGATAGATAGAGGTAAATAAATGGAGTAATGACAAGGTCAATGAAAATGTTAGTTAGAATATCATGAGCTCAAGGTTTGTTTTAATGTAAATTTTACCAATTTAATCTCCATCTTTTGCCTTCAAACTACTTATAATAACATTGCTCTTCTTATGTTTAAGAAACCTATAGTTTAGTATAATTGCAACTTTTACGTTAGAATTTCAAATTGTTGACTACACATAATATTGTTTATTTAGGAATAAAAATAAATACAATACTTTTGTGATATTTAAAATTAGAAGCTACGTGTTTCACAGTAGTCCTTGCAACGGATTGATAGAATAAGTTACCATTAAGTTTGAGTGCACTGAAAGACATATAAATTTATAGTTTTATAAAACTACCTTTTAAAAAAAAATCTTACCTACATACCACTTCTATATGGTTAAAGAATAAAAACATGAAGTTCTTTAGAAATAGAAAAATAAGAAAAAACTTCTTGATTGCAACCTCGTTCTAACATTCTGCTGAGCGATTTTATTGACCTTGTCGTGTGATACATAATACATGGCAAGAATGTATGTAACAATGTATTTATTGTTTATTTACTTTTTATGGCATGGAGTGGCAAACGAGCACATGTATTAGATGGTAGTAAGCAATCAGCGCAGCCCATGTACACCCGTATCGGTAAATGCTTTTCACCCCGATTTTCAATGAGGACAGTCTTTTTCAAAAAGTCAAAGTCAAGATCATTTATTTAAATAAAACCAGAACAGGCACTTTTGAACGTCAAGCAAAAAAGGAATAAAGTATTTCAAGAGCTTTAACATTAAGCGTGTCAGTTTGGCCTCTAGTGAAGCTATTTGCTCGTTCCAAAGTGTAGATCCCTATGGAGAAGAACGAGCAAGAATCTCCATGGTTACTCTTTTATAATAAGTTCATCATTTAGTCGGTTCTGATATAGGAAAACAGTGTAACACTAATGTTTAGGCAAAGAATCCGAAAACGAAGTTCACCTCAAGTCCAACATATTTAGACAGCCTAGAGATGACCAGTCCCAATAGGTGGCGCATGTTCACGAATATGACACCTACAGCAGTATCGCCCAACTCAATCATATTATAGGGAATCGAGCAATCCAGTGCCCGTGCCACCGCCAATGAGACCTCTGAGTGGTCATGACAACTCCCAGCTGACACAAGTACCTATATTCTACAATTTGGTCGGAGAGCTTTGATTGAACCCCGACACCCAGAGTTTTACTTTGGCAGCTGGCCCTAGCTGCCAAAGTAAAACTCCGTGTGAGTGGATAGTTCCTTCTCGCACTCCATCTCCTCCTTTGCAGCATCATTCGTCTCGCGCCATGTCTTTGACTAACACCGTACAGACAGACACCGGTGTGATGACACACGGGCTTTCCTCGCACTTGATCCGAAACAGATACCGGCCGAAACATCCGTGTCCAATATGCATATGCGTTATGCGTAAGGTGAGATCACCGTGGCAGCTCTCGAGCCACTCCTCAAAGAAGAGTCTTGCTAAGGTGATAGGTAGCCTAATGCTTACCTATACTTTTTTTATGTATTGCAATTAAATTTATTTATACAATTGCAAAATATGCAAACAACAAAACATCGTGATTGGTTTTGTTCTTTTTAGACAATAGAGTTATTATGACTATTATTTCCATAAATCTTAAAACACTCTCACAATGATCTTCGATTTTCACAAATCTTTTTCACGAATAGGTCGGCTCGACCAGAGCGATACCACGGCCTCACAGAAAACTGGCTTAAAACAACCACGTATTTCGTCATGTTTCGTCGTGTGAGTGAGGCTACTGGAGGCCTAAACCTCCATCTCCCCAACTTTTAAACCCTCAAATCCTTGATCCCCAAAAGGTCGGCAACGCACTCGTCACTTTTCTGTTGTTGCCAGTGTCAAGGGGCGGCGCTAATTTCTTACCAACAGAAGTATTTAATGTGTCAGCTCTTTCCCGTCGTTTCAATAAAAACAGGCTGTTCTTTGGTATACCTGCTACTAAGAAATATAAATAAACCCTTTAATGGTTTTAGGGTCTATTTCTATTAAAATGTCACGTAACTCTGGTGTCTATACCAATACCTTTATTAGGGGGAAAAATCATCAAAAGACTTCTCTCGCTGAGGGTGGGGCGAAAAGAAATGTCAGACTGTTATTGGCTGGAAAGCACCCCGTTACGTCTCCGGCTCCAGGCCAGGGCCGCAGTACCTTATTACGCTTGACCCGCAACCCTGGGGGAAATCGGTCTTGTAGGGCCCCGACTGTAGTGGTCTGTGTGGCAACGCAACGCGCTTTTGCTCAGGTATCCAAATACTTTGCCATGATAACTTGAAAAGTATACTATTTGAATAGGTGGCAAATTAGCTAATTCGGTTTTGTAGTGAAACTTAACAGTATATTCTGTGTGAGTGTGCTATGAGAGAATGCTATATCATTGGATTACAATAGCACCTTCACATTCTATTATAGAGTATGTTTCATATGGAGCGCTATGTTTTGCAAACGTCTGGGTACTGCGCGTCTGCTTGATACCTTTCTGTATTCGAAAGCTGCATAGCAAAGCAGCCTGCGCACGTGTGACAATAGACTTAGAGGTCAATCAATCAAATAAAGGTGAATCATCACAAATAGGCTGTTTACTTTACTGATGAAAACTCAGCGAACAATTGGTTCACCTTTACCTAACCACTTGAATAATATATAAGATAAACAAATCCAATGTACTCGTACACAGATAGATGACGTCAACAAACAAATAAGAATGTTTATTGTTTAGGCAGCGCAGTGCTATATGCTTTAAGTCTTTTTGGTTTTGGGGAGGAAGTAAAAGAAGTGGGAGCTTCTGATCTCTTAAAAAACCACTGGGAACAGAATCGAAAAACATTACAATGTACAGAATAAAAAAGAAAAGATCCACATACACCTGGAATTAAATAAAAATGAACATTTTCCGTCCTTTTACATAGTTGTAAAAATATATTTGCCGCCAATACGTAAACTAAATGCCCTACACCCAGGCATTTAATAATTATTAAGCTGTACTTCTAGACACGGCGCGCATTGTCCGGAGATTCCTTTCTCTGGAGCCCTGACCACCGGTAGCTTGAAACCCTCCCGTAACTGGTGGGATAATGCTTTTTATATTTTTAAGCGTTTTTTTTTTGTTTTGCGATAATATTTAAAAACGTACAAATCAAGTTTAAAAATAAATAAAGAGATAATAAATTTAACTATTAATTAGTAACGATTTTGTTCGGAAAACGATTCATAAAGACTGGGTTTATCTGGGATACGTACGTACGATACCCACTGCTGAGCAAAGGCAGCAGAAGCTTCTTACACGGAGAAGGTTTGAATGAGTCTAGTTAGTAGCTATTAAATGAATCTTGATACGGCGCCCTTTTGACATTACAAGACTGAGAGTTTCTTGAGAATGTTTGTGTATTGTGCTAAAAAAATACCTATACTACAAAACACTAATAGCAGCTAAGTATGTAGATGTCTAGCCAGGGTTGCAGATGCAAACGCATTAATGTAACACGACCGTGGCTTAGAGCAGAAGAAGAAACGGAATATTTTGAAAGCCAGAAAGAGTCTGACACTCCATCTCGCCCCACCAAGGCTGGTAGATGAGTCTTGATAACCCCCCGTCTTACTGAAAAGTAGGTATAGGTATAAATAAAAGAACAAACCAATTGGCCCTTACGCGACTTTGATATTATCTTTATAACTGTTATTTATCTAAAAGATGTGATGAATGCGTTTCTTATCAACTGATCTGTCAGATTGTGTTACAAACACTAAGAGAACGTTGTCAATTTTGTCATCTGAAACAGTGTGTCATGTGGCGTGTGCCTTGAAGTGTAAATCAAGTTGTATTTTTATATATCACGTACAATTTGAATGCACATGATTCGGAGAAAATGACTCTAACGGGATGGCGGCGTTTTTTGAACAAAGGTCAGTGTTTGTTTACAAATAGTAATAATAGTATTAACCTAATAGTATTAGATGTCTTACAATGGTAGACTACTTAATTAAAAGAAAAAAATATAGTGGTATACATGACTTACTGATACCAGAATACTTACTTTTTTGAGGCGGTTGGTCGTCAAATTACTTTTCTCGCTCTGGGTGGAGCGAGAGCAAGTCAGACTTACACTGACTAAAAACCATCCCGTCCTTCTCCCTTCGGCTGCGCCAGGCGGGATCATGGTACATTATTGGCTTGTAATGTAATCCAGGTTTGACATTTGCCTTAATGGGAATCATCCGTGGTTGTCTAGGGGCTTTTTGAGGTGCTTACGAAACTAGAAGTGCCGCATGCTCGGGCATCGGCTACAAATCTTTTTTGTCAGGGAAAAATCATCAAATGCCTATAATTAATCGTCAAATTGCTTCTCCCGTCCTGGGTAAGGCGAAAGATAGGATCAGACTTACTGACTAAAAGCCACCCCGTTCCTTCTCCTGCTCCGGGATGGATCACGGTAAATGATTGCTTGAACCTGCAACCCAGGCCAGATATTGGCCCTCGTGGCCCCATCCATGGTGGCCTGATGACTCATGCTAAAATACCGGATAACGGTGAAACGGGGTATATAAACTTCGAGAGGTAAATATACGCCAAAGGGAGGTAAATAGATAGTAGGAAAATTAGTCAAAATCTATTCACCCGTTTTGTGTATCTTACCCCGTTTTACGGTACATACCTTTTTTTGTGAGGGGAAAATCATCTAATGAGTTCTCCCGCCCAGGGTCGGGCGGGAGGGAGTGTCAGACTCTTACTGACTGAAAACACCCCGTTCCTTCTCCTATAGTTATGACCCTCTGGGACTTACACTTACGACAGGTTTTCTTGATGTTTTGTTAATGCTAAACTAGAATCCTTGGATATTGTGTTACATCTTATAACACTTTTAAGTCAACGAGTAGTATAATATAATAGCTGTCTTCCACTTGCACTGATCTAAAATACACTGCACTCTGCTTAATATTTTTGCCAACGATTTTTCTTATGCATTTTAAGTGATGCTCGCTTTTGCAAACGGCTTTGCACGCAATACTAATGTTAGAGTAGCGAGTGTTTTTCCACTCCTATAACCTATGTTTGTGCCGAATTTCACTAAACAAGCGCCTATGTTTACAAGCATACACGTTTATAAAATAGAGGGATTTGTCACATTAAATAAAATTGTGTCAATGTTATTTGAATCAAGTAATCTATGTTGCTAATGTTGTCGTAACTTTTTGTCATGCCCTATATACGTATATTTTTTATAGAATTTGTAGGCTCAAAATCCTATCCTATTTTGTTTGCCAATCAACATACTTTATTCGCATACATAATTTTATAAACAAATTAATATTGATGTACATTTTTAAATGTATAACCGCATCGAACGATACTAAATTAATTAGTTTATTTATTACTAATATGTTCTTATAAATAAAAATGTTTTATAGAGAGATTAATATGTATACCTACAGTGTAGTGTATCTTTCTTAATTTATTTATCTTCTACTAGCTTTTGCCCGCGACTTTGTTCGCGTGGAATAGTGACTTTCTGTGGATTTTTGATTTAAAAACTATCCTATATCATTTTTCGAGTTCCAAACTATGTCTGTACCACACACAAGCAGGTTAAGTAGTTTAGGCGTGAAGAAAAGACAGAGAGACAGACAGAGTTACTTTCGCATTTATAATAGTAATAATAGTTTGAATTAATCAGGAACTTTTAAACACAGTTCACGACAGTTTCATTATGTCTTCCTTAGTCGATGCTTACGGTTTTGAACAATTCAATATAAGTTATAATGAAATCGTAGCCATTAGAAGAATAGTTATTGAATTAATCATTGTTAGGAAAATCTATTAATTACTAAGTAAAATTAATAGCTCATAAATTTTTTATTTATATAAATGAATAGGAATATTATGCAATTTAAATTGTTATGTTAGAACAATATTATATTCGCAATATGAATGATAATAGGTACAATATAAGAACCTATTTTATCCGCGTGTAAAAGTCATAAAAAATTGTATTGCTTTTATAGATAGCCCTGCTCCAAAGTAGGCCGCATCATATAATAGCTTTCTATAGGGTGAAAAAAATCAACTAGAATTAATACGATGCTTAAGAGATACACATCAGTTAATATTTTAATTTGTTTCCGTACTAGCTTTTGCCCTCGACTCCGTTCGCGTAGAATAGTGACTTCCTGCAGATTTGGTATAAAAATTATCCTATGTCCTTTCTCAAGTTTTAAACTGTCATGTGTCTGTAACAAATTTCACAGAAATCGGTTAGTAGTTTAGGCGTGGAGTAAAGACAGACAGACTGACAGTTACTTTCGCATTTATAATGTTAGTATAGATAAAGATTATAAATGAATGCACGGTTGCTGCAGTGGCTGGGTTGCCCAGCCATGTGTGGGTCTTTCCCGCACTGAACAAAACTTTATATGATCCACAAATTATATGTGAATTTGTAGGTTTGTAAACGCACCTACGAAGCAGCAGGAAAACCTAGTGTGGAGCTAAGTTTGAAAAATAATAAGTGGTTGTAAAAAAAATATAATAAGTACCTATCCGCTATTGAACAGATTCAAATAGAGAAGAAAGTTGCATACTCAAGTGATCTAGTGGATTTAATATTAATTATTAATAATGATATATACCGTGCCAGAGTCAAGCCTATATGTTATTCTAGACTAATTTATCTCAATGCTGAATTTCATTCGGATTTGTTCGGAAGTTTTTAGGTTAAGAGTAAAGAACATCGATTCATCCAAGCTTTCACTATGATATTTATAGGATGAATTTGAGATGAACAAATTTTTACAAAGTTATTTATTATTATATTGTTATTTTTTTTACGAGAATAATAACAATCTACGTAGGTATGTGGAACAGGAATTTTTTCTTCGTAACATAGATAAAATATGTATATCGTAGATTTATCTATTGAATGACAGACGCTGAAATATCTATAAATCTGTGGTTTCTTCCGAACTCTTCATAGATAAAGTTATAAAAAATATGATTCACAGTTTTCTTCTCATAGTAGTCTTCTAGTTATATATGTATCTGTTCTTTTTCATAAAATACATTAAGTTCTGTTCGTTAGTTTTGCAAAAATTCAAGAAAAACTGGACTGACATGGCTTATTGTGGTCTTAAAATATTCCCGGATATACAGGAAAGGGTTCAAAGATAAGAAAAAATAAATAAATAATAAAAAATAAGTAGTTGTATTTGAGGCAGTATGAAGCCGGACCCCGGTACATTACCGTTTGCAAGGCAAGCCCGGTTTTAGGTTTATTGGGAGTAAAATACTTCTAGGTTAACTTTTTGGTGTAGCATCGGAAGGCAGATTACGGTGATTAACTAAAGAGGGAAAACTATTTAGGTACAAATCCTACACACCAAAATGTGCAACCGTCAGCGATTTTTATCCTGGTATATTCCAATACCTTTGCGACATAGCGGTTACACTTTTAATGGTCAAAGAAAACCATTTTATAACTACTTAACTTTCTTCCTTTAAGCCCGTAAACAAGAACACTAATTACAACGTGACGCAAAGACTTGAGGAAATCATAAAAAAGGTATACAATAAAAAATGGATTCTGCAAGAAAAATCTCTATTTTACTGATTTTACGGGAAAATTTGTAATGTTTTTTATTTTACATAAAGCCTTCATCACACACATTGACTTGAACGAGAATCAAGCATTAATTTCTTCAATATCATTTAGTCTATAGTTCTTTTCGAATAATCTTTTCGCTACCGTTCCACGCAAAAATGTTCATCCCCATCACATAGATGGTTGGCACTCAACAACTGTGCGATTCTCGCGTAACTTTCTGCCCAGCACAGCAAAGCTTTGGAATAATCTTCCGGCGGCAGTATTCCCGAACCGATACGACCCTCAAACCTTCAAGAGACGAGCGTACTCCTTCTTAAAAGGCCGGCAACGCATCTGTGACTCCTCTGGTGTTGCAGGTGTCCATGGGCGGCGCCGATCGCTTACTATCAGATGATCCGTCAGCTCGTTTGCCTCATATTCCATAAAAAAAAAGTTTCCACTACTGAACAAAGGCCTCTTTTCACGTAGAGGATGGTTTGTGCATTAAACACCACGCTTGGTCAAAATCATGGTCAAAGTCTAGTTATTTCAAAAAGACCAGTACAGACACCTACGTTACCAAAGGTGCTCAAGGAGAATTAGCGATTACAAACTTATAATTTGTAAGTTCAGGTTTTCTCACGATGTTTTCCATCACATTATGTCAGCTGTGTATAAATCTGCCACTACGATATTAAACCTGTTTATATCTTAATTTTCAGGGATGGTAGTACCCCAGCGCTATGTCCTGGGTATCATGGGACTATTTGCGCTGGGCAACTCCTTCACAATGAGGGTCTGCCTTAGCATGACTATCACACAAATGGTCCTACACGCGGAGACAAGTGAACATATCATTGGAGAAACCTGTCCAGATCCGAATGGAGTCATCTCTAATTCCACTGATGATGAAAATAATACTGTATCTGTGATATTTACGGTAAGTTTTTCTTTGTCTTATCAGAATAAGTTTTGTTTGCTTTTTAAATTCTTACTCATAGGGCCTTGATTGTTAACAAGGGAATCACCATCTTCAAGAAATGATTATATAAAACCCTTAAGTATGAATCACGTTACACCTGGCTGGGACACATTCTCCGATTAGACCATATTATGTTACACTGGGCTTTTAGGGTGAAACGACAAGATCCGTGTCATTTCATTTTTGTTACCCAGTAATTTCATCTGAATATGGACTTCATACTCAAAAAAATATACAATTAAAATTAGCAGCTTCTGCAAGTTCCACTGATGACAGAAATTTGGAAAAAATCTGGGTGAACATAATTTCTCTTAGTTCACATCTACTCTGTCGAGCTGCTCACATTATTAATTTTATTCGATGACTACTCTGCAGGTGCCCAGGCACATACATTCATGTGTGCCGCCGCTGGGGCTAATACCTATTTCAAATTCTCTTAATGCTTTAATCGTTCAAATTTTACTCCAGAAAACTCCAAAACTCGAAGTCAGTTAAAAACCTACCTATCAGTAGGTACCCTAGGTTCTTAAGTTTTAGTAGGTATAATTTGGCACGTTTTTGCGTCATTTAAACTCAAGTGACTTTATCTTAGCGCCCCGTGTTGTTAGATTTGTGGCACGTGTTCTGGATTTATGATATTTTTTTCATTTGTACGCCTGCCACTTTCAAGTACATGATAAGGTATGAAATGTGTAGGTTACCTACTGTATAAACTATGGCTACAGATCAAGCTGAATAAACCAGTTTATCATGGTCTTCATTTGTACCTTCTTACAACACATTTAAGGGTCAGATTATATTGGCCCTTATAGTTTGATGTGTAGTTTAGATACTTGGTACGTCACCCACAAGGTCCATAGCTAATATTTTGGTTCAAAAGTCTGAAAAGGTATCAAATTCCATGGAAAAGCTTATGGTGACATGCGAAATTTCGAGAGGGTGGATTATTTTCAAATGTCGAGGTGTTGCAATCATTTTTCTTATATAATCCACGTAAAATTATTACTGCTGTGACATGCAAATTTATTTTGGGATTTGGTTGCTTTATGACAAGCGGCATTGTGTGAAGATATGTATTGTCATTTTAGGCTGAAATATTTTTACATATGAAAGACAAATAAAAATAATGAATATTCATATTAACAGTCAGTTATGTACATCTCACAGCTGAACTGTACTGAATGTATACACCTTGTCTTACAGTAAATATCGTCTCATAAAACGTTATTAAGAAAAAATGATTTTCATTAAGAAGCAAACAATACTCGTACAACAATAAACTACTTATTTGAGTTTCATAAAATTTCTCAACCGTTTTTCCATTGCAATCACGTGTTGTGAAATCTTGAACAAACAAGAGGTTATTTCCTTAGCTAACACAAAAGTATCTTAGAAGATGACGTTATAATGATTATTTTCTTCAGGGCCGAGATCGTTATGATTGGGATGAAGCAACGCAAGGGTTCCTCCTTAGCGCATTTTATTATGGCTATGTGGCCACCCATTTACCTGGTGGACTGCTGGCTGAGAAGTTTGGAGGAAAATGGACTGTTGGCTTAGGTCTTTTGGTGACTTCTGTAGCTACTGTTCTTACTCCTTGGGCAGTGACAGTCGGTGGAGCAGTTGGACTGTTCATCATCAGGGTCATTGAAGGTTTTGGAGAGGTATGTCACAAAGTTTTTATTGTCTTCTTCTAAGTACTTTGATAAGAATAACTGTCATCTGGTCAACGCCCAAGTTGAGGAAAAACTGCCTTTTTTTCATCTATGAACTTTCACGAATGAAAAATGTTAGCGTAATGAATGTTAATTTCGAAGTATCTTTTACCAATGTTAATCATTTACAATTTAATTTACTCACAGGGTCCAGTAACGCCAGCATTTGTCCTTCTACTTGCAAGATGGGTCCCACCAGCAGAGCGTTCACGTTTTGGCGCAATGATATTCGGAGGGGCCCAAGTTGGAAATATTTTTGGCCCCTACATTTCTGGAATCCTTTTAGCAGATGGCGGAGACTGGGCCAATGTATTTTATGTCTTTGGCGGACTTGGAATTATATGGTTCATATTCTGGGTAAGGTTTTATTGAGCATGTTTCAAGTTTATTACCTAAAATTATATTGGAAGCAGTAAAATGTGTCGGGGACATGTGATTTACTGATGTACCTTCTGTAGATATCGCTGTACTTACAGAAATATTACGTTCATAGAAGTTTTCGAAATTTTGCTGATCTTTGAAAATCCATAGGATTAAAGTAGGTCAATCTTTTTTTGTATTCGTATGTTAAAAATCGGAAAACGAGCATACGAATTATCTGATGGTAAGCAATTGACGCCGCCCATGGACACGTGCAAAACCAAAGGAGCAACGAGTGCGTTGCCGTCCTTTTGGAAATTAGGATTTCTGAGATTTGGGATGAGGAGGGTAGGTGAAAGATTTGCCTCCGGTAACCCCACTTACACGGTGAAAGTGTGTGGTAGTTTATCTAAATCATATTTACTTTACTTTAATTATTGTTCGAAATAATATGCCAACAAAAGCAAAGTAATGATAAGAGAGGTAAATTAACTATTTTGTAATAAAAAAGAATATTATTCTTTTCAGGTCCTCCTATGCTACAGTACTCCAAATTCCCATCCATTTATCTCTGAGGAAGAAAAGAACTTTTTGAACAAAAATATAACAGCCTCTGGTTTACATAAGAAGCTGGACCCAGTACCTTTCAAGGCACTCTTGCGATCTGGGCCACTATGGGTCTTGGTTATGGCTGCAGTAAGTTTTTCAACATTCATATAAAGAGCACCTCATTTTAAAAACATCTAAGAAAGGTAAACAGTCATCACCAATTCATCCAAAATGATCTAATAATATGAACGCGAAAGTAAGTTTATTTGTGACAATCAATATTGTTTTTTTTTAAGTATCTACTTACTTACGGTATGCGAACGGCATTGGTTAATTAAAGCAAGTAAAATTACGAGTAAGAACCAATTTTAAATAAGGGTTATTTTTGCATTTTTCCGTGCAATGTCTTTCAATGTTTTTTTTTTGTGAGGGGAAAATCATCAAATGACTTTTCCCGCCCAGGGCCGGGCAGGAAGGAGTTGTTCCCTGTTCCTTCTCCTGCTCTGTGCCGAGGTCGCGGTACCTCATTGCGTTTACCCCACAACCCTGGCTGAACATCGGCCCTTTAGGGCCCCGTCTGTGGCGGTCTATTGGCTCTTTGAGGCGCGCGCGGAGGGCTACGCGCCGTGCGCTCGGGCCTGGTTCTGGTCGGGCGGCGAGCTGCCCTTACTCGCCGACCGCAGGCCCGTGCTTACGGTGGCCGGAGATCGTCCCTCGATCCCCGACGCCCGTAGTGTCGCCAGTTGCGGCTGCTGGGGCGTGAGGAGGAGGATTGCTCCCTCACGCGGGCCGCCTCTCTCTTTGCGAGCATGACTGCTTCGCAAAAGGAGGAGACGGCGTCCCAGTTCCTCTCACTCCGCACCATGGCCTCGACTAAGGCCGGGCGCGAGAGGTGTCAATACCTGGATCTTATAAAATAATCGGATTTATCTCGTAACTTGTAAAGACTTGGTTGTATTCTTATTATATTTTGACGAAATTTAATAAATGATTTCACCTGAGACAATAATAATATATTCCAACATTTTTCAAGATTGACCTTTTTTTTATTCCCTTCCACAGATTGGCCACGACTGGGGATACTTCACGATGATTACGGACCTTCCAAAATATTTCTCCGATGTGCTGAAATTCAATATCAAAGAGACGGGCTTGATGTCGGCGTTGCCCTACATAGCTATGTATATTTTCTCCTTCATATTTGCCGGGCTATGTGACTTATGCGTTAAGAAGAAATGGCATAGTATTGGCACGGGCAGGAAGATCTACACAACTATATGTAAGTGTGAATCATATTAATTGTTTTATTCCTCATCACCATTATCATCAGCTAGAGGACGTCTACTAGTATACGAAGTCCCCTCCTGTAGTCCTCTACATCAAACGATAAATGACCACCCCGTTGGAACCTTGTTGTTTTTCTTAAAAATGACTTGTCTAAAACAATTCATTAGCAAATAGTCAATAGACGCTAATGTAGTCTGTTGCGGAAATTGTTTTGCTCCTAGATTAGCACTGGGCGTGTATTCTGCAGTTGAGAACCCAAATCGATTTTATTAAACATAGCTTTACTTTTCCGAGGTTAGTTTCCACGAATGTACCTACCTCATGTCACGAGCTTCTCAGCATTAGTATTACAGTCACAGCTTATTTTTGCCAATTTATCCTTTAAAAACATCAATAATTCTGAGCAAAAACGTCGGTACTTAATAAATTCTATGGCAGCAACCACTTAGTGATAATAAGGTCGTTTTTTCCATAACAGCGTCTTCCGTGCCGGCAATCTTCATTATTCTGGCCTCGTACTCCGGCTGCAATCGACTTGCGGCCGTCGGCTTATTCATAGCCTCGATGGCGTTCATGGGGGGTTTCTACAGCAGTGTCAAGATCAATGCTATGGATATTGCTCCCAACTATGCTGGCACTTGCTCCGCCTTCGTCAATGGGATTGCTGCCATTTCTGGCATCATTACACCGTATTTGATTGGATTGTTGACACCAGATGTAAGTGCAGTTTTATAGTTATTAGTTGCTGCTTCATATATTTCAAAAATATTTATAATCTTCATACCAAAATCAATTCAAGTTCAAGTTGTTACAAGCATATACCTAATTACAACCATATGATATACCTGTTATCTTTCACAATGTTCTACAAAACAACATCTTGACGAGTTTAATTGTGAATAAGATAAACACAACTGATTACGATCTGTTACGATCTACTCGTAGCTAGTTAGCGATAATGTAATAACTTATTAGTGTTAATGCACTAAAACCAATTAAGTAATACCAGTTAGCTAATTAATCTGACATGATACAGATACAATAGATAATATTATCTGGAAGATACCTAATAATCTTGATAACGAACAATGTGCAATGTATTGTTTCAAAATATGTAATACATCATTGATGAACTTCCCTGCACAACACATCCATTTTAGCGACATAAGTTAAACAAACCCTTTCTGGCAGCAAAAACACCGTCCCAGCCAAAAAGGAAAGAAAAATATTTTTTGGGCAATCGGCTCGCACGTAAATATATCAAATATTATAAACCGGGAATATTGAAACATATTATGATACAATGTATAAGAGTGCATGAGTAATGAATTAATGATTCATTATTACAGAGTTTCAAAATATGCAACCCATAATTAAGTGAGAGAACATCTCTACATAACATACCTATTTTTGCAGCATAGATTAGTAACCCCTTCCTCTTAGAAGAACGAACCTTACAAGAAAAGAAAAACAGCATTTATTTCACAAACGGATTTGCAACTTAATACATACATTGAATATTATAAAAACACAGATAGCCAAACTGAAAAGTATAAATATTAAATAAAGGAAGAAAGTAATAAATATAACTGATTAAAACAAAACATTCTGAAAAATAAATTTTTAATAGTGCTGCATGTCCTTGTCAATACAGTTTTAATCATTTTGTTGAGCATGTAAGACCGAACGCTGATTTTCAAATGTTATAGTTATAGTTACTAACAAGCATTTATAATTAGATATTGTAGGAATACATATACACAGTCTATTGGGTTCTTGAAGATCACGTGCACAAGAATCAACAAAACTGCAAAAACTCTTACAAAACAGTCAATGACCAATAAAGCATTAGCAATTACATTACAATTCGAATAAAGGAAAGAAAAGAACGATCACTTGAATGAAAAAAAAACGAAAAGCCCGATGTATTTTATTACCAAACAAAGTGTTGGCAGTGTAGCAGACTTAATACTTTTTTTCAAAGAGTTAAGGAAGGGCATCACGCTTGACCGAACTAGCGAATGTCGGAATAAATTAACTGAAGCGAACGATAGTCATATTTTTTGGACATCTTTTTTTCGAGGATATTGTCTTCCTCAAAGAAACTTTGTTGCTATGGTCGTTGTCATCGGAGTATATTTTTCCACGCTTCGTTTGAAGTCTTGAAAGGACCCAAATATTTTATGATACAAATATTAAAAAAGTATGTAGTAGGGAGCGAACTTCCTATCAAACGCATTCCTTCATCAAATGATTCAATATTCCACAAAAAACTGAACCGTTTATTTTCCTACGAAAATAGTGCTTAACTATATTCTTTTTTATTATTATTTTTCTTTTACAGCAAACGGTTGGACAGTGGCGCGTAGCATTTTGGACCGTATTCGCAGTATTAGTAGGAACCAATGCCGTTTACCTCATTTGGGGTTCTGGAGAGCCACAATGGTGGGATGACGTGGATAAGTACGGATACCCCCCTAATTGGAAACATGGACCGTTGAAGAAAAGGGCAATAGACGGAGAGAAAAAAGTTGTTTACCCCAAACATGACCACTCGCCTGTATCAAATGATTAATTAGAAATAAAATATTTATAATTTTTTAATATTTGTTTTTTCTTGTGACCCCTTACTCTTCAAGCGTAATAAGTAACAGTGTGTATTTGCAAAATCAAATTGTTCTATTTTTTCCAAATGTTTTAGTGCAAAATCTGACTCCAGTATTTTAATGTGGTTTATTTTGGAAAATTATGTCAAAATTATATAGGCTTATATCGTTATAATATTATTAAAAAACTACTTACCAAGTTTTCCCGAAACAGTCAAAACATCCAGTATACTGCAAACATATTTTATTTGCCAAAATTGCTCACAATACTCAATATACAAAGTCACACCTAACATAAACTAGAATTTTATCGCCATCAAAAATTTATTAATTGACAGATCATTCTCATAAATTTATACAAATCTATTCATTAAAGCAACTTGATATAAAGTTGATAACAGCATGCAGACATTAAGGCACGTGTCAAAACACCATGCTTTTTAATTAGCTCCATGCACGTGGACTGGTGCAACTCTAAGAAGGCATTAATGAGCTGACACCAGACAAAAACCTGAATTATTATTAGCATTCACGTTTCTTGATATTGATACATCTATTATAGTTATCCATAATATAAAAAAAACTAATCGCTAAGTATGTTGCTAAGTGCAAATCTCGAGAACAGCTGAACCTTTTTTTGTTGTGTTTGTTATTAAAGTTAGGAGAAGATTTTTATGGCATAAAAAGGTAGATTAGGTTATTGTATAGCAGGAAGGGATATCCTCTTCAAGAACTCTTACCAGCTACAACCTACTCCTCTCAATAATTGTGTTCAATAAAAAGGCTCATTTACATTAAACACATACATGTACGTATGTTTTTTTTAGTTACAGGCAAGTCAATAATTGCTTTAATTAATTGTATGTAACTGACAAGAAGCTTGCATCGTGTAAATGTCGCCTTACTCTGCGTCTACATTATTATAATCACTTTTATTTTGCTACAAGGTAAGTAGAAGAGTAATTCGGCGAAATAGACAGATGCAAGGTTGATACATATGTTTATATCGATTGTATAATCAAAATTGCACTTCAAAAACTAGTAAGTGAAATTTTTGTATAAACAGATATATTATTATGTATTTTGTAAAGGATCAGGATTATCTCATTATCTACCTTATTTTAAATATACAAAGAAAATAATTTGTCCTAATATTATTTACACGGCACAAGAATAATAATTTTGAATTTCTGTTTGAAAATGTTGCCCCAATTTTTTGCTATATAAATGTTGTTTGGTTCGCAAGATAGCGCCATCTAGTTGAAAAGTGTCAAACTTATTAAGACAGAGTTATTCAACCCTGTGTTCTTTACGCGATTTCACGTTTTAAATGAAGCTCATTTTAATAATTTAATATTTATTGTAGATTGTAGTTGTAAGTACGTATAAGAAACAACAAATAGATAAATTGTTATAATAATACTCTTTTCCTTTAGATAATAAATTATATTGTAAGTACTTAACTTAACGTAAAGAACTTGTTTTTTATTTGAAAATAAATAATATGCGTTTTGTAATATATTGACGTATTGAAATTCAGTTTACCTACTTGATATATAGAAAAAGTATCAAATGAAGTAATAAAACAATAACATTGTAACTAACAAAGGCAAACACGAAAGCAAGTTAGCAAACAGTTACATTTTTGTGATTAGCTTTACCTACTTTTCTCTAAGGAGCCACCGTGTATACATTGACCGCGATCTTTAATTATTTTCCAAACACAAATTGAAAGTTTATTTCCTATTATTCTACAATATTATGAATGTAAAAGTTTGTGAGATGTTTTTGTAACTTTTACACAAAAACGGCAGGACCGATTTTGTTGAAATTCGGTATGTAGATAGGTGATAACACAATGGATTTTTATCAACATACCACGCGGTCGAAAGCTAAATATTTATTGGTAAGTGCAAGAATTCAGAAGCTAAACAACATTTTTAAATTCGTCCAAACACACAGTCGAAAATAAAAACACAGGTTGCGGGTTAAGCGCAATTAGTCACCACGGCCTCGGCCCAGAGCAGAAGAAGGAACGGGGGGAACTTTGAACTTTTTAGTCAGTAAGAGTCTGACACTCTCTCTCACTTAACCCTGGGCGGGAGAAGTCATTTGATGATTTTCCCCTGACAAAAAAAAGGATATTTTTAGTATGTTTTTTTCCCTTTTGATATTAAGGATTAAGAAATCCTACCTATTGACCTCAAAACTCATTTATATTTTGAATAAACCCTCACCAGTAGGGTGGCTGTGTACTCAAGGACGGTCGATCAGTTCCTAAATATAAGAGATGGAAATGATGGCCAAGGGTATACCTCCCTGTTGAAAAGTAAAGGGTAAACAGTTGAAAATCCTTTAATTATCTTCTATACATACATTGTAAAGATGTAGGGTTTTGTATGTTTGATTGTTTGAACGCACTCATCGCAGGATTTGCTATTTCGAATATTTTTTTTTTGTATTGGTTAGTCATTTTTTAAAGAAGGCTGCAAATTGAGCTAGCTGTATTTTAGGCTACGACCAATAGCAGCGAGTGAAACTGCTGGTAGAAGCCAGTAATAGTATTATTACGTAAACTTTGCTTTTGATAGACGCGTTACTAAAACAATATCTAACAGCAAAGGTATATTATTATTTTAGTACCTAGTTTTTTACACATAATTTTGACGTGTAAAAGTGATGTTTCTGGCCTATTTAAAAAATAATTCAATGTTTTATAGTTTCAATAAACTTTGTATATATTATTCAAGATTCTTTACTTTAATTTCTAAATATAAAAGGTATGCGCCGATTCCTAACGTAATTCCTTCCTTCAAAGATTGCATTTAACAATACAAAGTTATTTTTCTCAGCGGATATCTCTCCGAGCCAGGCCCGCCGGGAAATGTGATACGACTTTCTTACATTTACATTTTCTTTATAAAATAAATTCTATATTTTGTAAAAGAACATCTTTTAGGGATTAGGACCAGTGTGACGGTTAGAAGTCGTGTGAATTTTTTGGTACTGAAAGACCGATGTATCAACGATTTCAAAATTGATTAAAATGAGACATCGAAACAAAAAAAAAAAAAAAAAATACATAATAATAAACAAAAATGATATTTGTTTTTTTTATGCTAATTACATGTATTGAAGAAAATGTGATGGGTTTAATTTTAGGAATTCACGCAAGGTGAAGTGTTGGATAGTTAAGCTTCGGCACGAATGGTTCGGTTGAACTGGAATCTGTGATACCACAGCCTCAGAAAAAATCTGCGTCAATTTACACAAACACACAAACCAATCCTCGAATTCTTAACAACTTAAAAAGGCTGGCAACGCTCTTGTAACTCGTTTTTTGTTACCTACTATCAGGTGATCCAACTAGCTAGTCTATCGACTTATCACATACAATCTAAAAAATGATAAAATACAAGGTATTTTTTTATTTATTAATTAATAATGCATGCGAATACATGCGTAAGTAAGCTTATTACCTACGCATATTCTTATATACCTATAGTTAGTCTATTTTTTTTTCGCTCTCTCTTTCATAATCCGATGGGATGGCAATCTGACACGACCGGAGGGAGGTCAGCTTTGGGCCTTATGGATTTAAGGGATTGTAGGGATAGAGATTAGAACGACATTGAATATATAAACAAAAGGACCAGTTAGCTGACTCACAATATCGAATTTATATTATATAAACTGCTATCACACATCCCTATTTTATTAAGAACTTTAAAATATAACTGAACTATTAAATGCGTAGGTATGTAAAAATTAAGTTTATTTGTGATTCAAATTTAAATAAGGTCTTTAAAATATAGCAAAAATGAACGATACAAACCAAAGAAACCATTTCATGAATGAACGGTTGTCGCGGTGGCTGGGCAACTGGCTGCGGCGCAACGTGTCGCTGGTTGGATTCCCGCACGGAACAAATCTTTGCGTGATCCACAAATTGTTGGCGTGATGTGTATGTTGTTAACGCACCCACGGCATAGGAGAAAAAACTGTAGGGTAACGTTTTAATTAGTGAAAAAAAAATATGTAGGTAAATACTGCATAAACCCGAAACAACAATTTGTGGATCACACAAAGAGTTGTTTATTTTGTTATACACGTTTTGATCTCTTTTCAAAAGCCTATTAATAACAAGCATGTCTTCTTGTTACTTAGTAACAACCTTGATAAGGTCAATAATCGAGCTCAAGTGATTTTCCGTGAAGATCTTCCGTGATCTTCTATATGGATAGGGAAAATAGCGAACAATGGCCTTAATAGCCTTGTCGAACAAGGAAGAATATGAATTGAAAGTACTGATTTCGTAAAATGTAGCCAGCTCAGTCAGTGTATTCTGAATTAACATACGATACACATATCGTGGTGGCCCGGAGGTTAAGGAGCCCGCTTCTCATGCATGAGGGTGTGAGTTCGAAACCAAGTTATAAGTACTTTCTATGATTATTCAGACACCACTGACATACGGTGAAGGTAAACATCGTGAGGTAACCTGGACTTATAATTTCCAATTATAAGTTTGAAATCACCAACCCACATTGAGCAGCAGTGCAAAGCGGCAGTTTGCTCAGCAGTGGGCACTTATAGGCTGATGATGATGATGATAAGATTCCACCAGTGTATCTAAAGTTTAATAAATAAATATTAATAATAAACTTAAAGTTGCTTTGTGCTGCCGGCTTGTTGAGTCTGAGGTACTACTACATACAAGTATGTGTCCGACCCAGTTCTAAAAAATGTCAATATCACATTGTACTGGGATCAGTCTGTCATCACTGACAGGACTATTGTAGCCAATAAGCCTGACATAGTGGTGATAGACCGTAGTGACCCAGTGCGTAGTATGATGATGTCGCCGTTCCTCATGACGAGAACCTCGAGAAAGTAGAGAATGATACGATTAAAATATCTTTCTCAATGTTGTTGACATGTGAAGTGTGGACTCAGCTATCATTGCGCCTTACATACTGTTCAATATTACTGTTTTTTCAGAATTAAATTATTACTTTAAAATTATAATATTAAATTGCTTTCTTTTTCACAGTAAACTGATGATGGATGTAAAATGAACAAAAGATACTAAATAGTTGAATATATTGAAAATCAATCATTATTTTTATAAGCCTGAAGCTTACTAATCTAACCTGCACGCAATCTTTATGAATGATCTATGACGGGACATTCAGAGGCTGCGTTTGCGCCGATTCTCTCACTAGTCGTGTTACTGGCGCACAGCCATTCGCCCGTCTGTTACCTTACTTGACTTTATTACGCGCGTAAAGTAAGCACGAAAAATAACAATTGAATGGGAAACAAAATAATTAAGAAAAAATTGGACTACCGGATCATTGACCTCATTTCTGTGAGTGTTTTTTTTATTTCTTTTAGTTTGTGTGCGTGATTGAACTATTTTTTTTATCATGATTGTTGTTATTGAAAGTGCACCTTATTTATCTATTTGATACTATATTATGAAGTATTTGTTGAATAAGTAAAATAATAGTATTGTAAATTTCATTATAAAAATGTTTAATTGAGATAGTTTAAAAAAAAATCGTATCTACGTTATTTTGCCGAAAGTTTTAGTGGCATTTATTATAAAAATTATACCATACTATTCAAAATTATGCTGATAGAATTTAATGGCGTTCAAGCATTCATATTACTTATTTTATTGTGTAAACAAATCTTTCTTAATTGCTACATTTCCGACATCAGTCGCTATATAATTAAATTGTGAGATAATTATTTTACAACATCAATTACGTACGTCATTATCACAATAAAATACGACTTTCTTCTTTAATAATCAATGTTTTTAATTGTCTTGCTAAGGATTTAGCTTTGTGAAAAACCCAACCCCTAAACAATTATCTTGTGAATGTAATTTAACAATATTATTTAGAGGTTCAATTGCTATTAAAAAATTACTTTGTCTGGTATAGGTACTTCAAAACACGTGATAATACTGTATAAATGTAAACATACGTTTTTTTAATTTTAAACGTTATCATGTTTTGAAATATCTAAGTACCTTTTGACATTCCAAACATAATTATAATTATTGTCAATAGTTAAAAAGCGCTTTTTAATTACTTATCATAATTATAGTCAGTTTCGGATTTAGACAATGACAAATAATGCTAAGGTAGCTACGTATCATGATGTAGTATGTTTAATAAGACGCTTCTTATATGAGAGTCAGAAGGCTTTTATTACTGAAATGATTAACACACAAGTGCTGCGCAAATAAATACAGGAATCCAAAGATAAAGACAATTATTCTTTATGTTTGTGTAATGATAAAAAGGGATGTAGAATAGATTAGGGGCTTGTGGTTTTAAAATAGGTTGTAAATGTATTATGCAGTCAGTGAAGTGTTGTATGAATGTTTGTGTAAAATAGTTTTTAGTTAAAAAACCTCATTATCATTAGGTAATGCAGAAAGTGAAGTACTTAAGTGATATAGTCTTATATACTATTATGAAATAAATTGTTATTCATTGGTATCGCTAAAACTCGAAAAAGGTTCCACCGACATGGCTTATTGTGGTCTTAAATATATTTAAATATTTTAATATATTAATCGCTTTAAAATGTGAGAAAATATGACTAAAGTAGTAGTATTTTTGTGATAAAAGTTTGGTCTTTTTTGTGAGGGAAGATCATCAAATTACTTCTTTCGCCCGGGGTAACGCAAGATAGATAAACCTGACTAAAATCACCCCATTCCTTCTCTTACTCCTGGCCGATATACCTGTCTGGTAGAATTCTAATTTTGAACGAACGAATTTTTTTTACATATTTTTATGGTATTTTATGATTGAGTAAAAACTCAAAATATTTAAATATATTTTAGAATATTATTTTAAATCGACAATTTCCATTTAATTGAGTTTCATTCCGAATTGTATGTAGTGACGTCACGTGTTTGTAGTGTAAAAGACACTTATTTCACGATTAAGTAGTACCTAAGTGCATCGAAAAATCAATGATTAATTAAATATTCAAGTCACTTTGAAATATCTAATAAATAAACTTTACTTAATCAAGTAACCGATTATAATGTAGACAAGGAGTAAGTAAAAAATGTTACAAAAATCATGAAATTAATACAATAAACTAGGAAAGATTTAGAATTCGATTTTTGTAAACAGAAACATCTAATATGTAATATCACTCTAATCGATTTGAATTATGTTTGTTTACGTGTATTAATTATGACTACGTTTAATAGCACACATCATAAACTATGAATTATCTTCGTCGGAACATGTTATTCTATGTATCTTAAGATTGATTTTGATTTTAAAATAAATACATTAAGAATTAAAATCGTATTTATTGGCAAATATTTGTTTTCGTAATAATTGATTTAACTCAACAATAATTGCATCAAAAACATTATTTTATTTTATTTTTTATAACAAATCGCCTTTCTGTTTCAATGTCGAAAACATGATAATAATAATATGTATGTTTCTGCGTACTTACAGAGTGTTCTTATCTTGAGATAATTTTGAAAGACTTAAGACGAAGATCTATCTAACTTACTCGTTTTCTTTTTAATTAGTAACAAAAATTCCTAAATTGTCCTTTAATCAGAAATCATTAATTTGGATTATCAACAAGGTTATGTTTTGCTACTTTCTAATAAGTAATTCACGCAGGCCATGCCAAGGATACAAGTTAGCCCCTAACGAAATTTGTAAAACGAGAGTTTTTATATAGATATTTATGAATAAAAACCATAGATGTGTGTACTTATTTTTACGCAAAAACTACTGAACGTTAATATACTAATAATTAAATTATATTTCTTTTTATTATTAGTATATTAATTAAATAAATAAATAATGAGATATGACATAATATAGAGATAGATAACATGCTTCTTCTTTTTTGTAGCTCTACTAGTAAATTAGCTCTCACAAGCAAATATTTTATTAACCTTCCAGTCGTCACCCAGTATATTACGACTTCAATAAACATGAAACTAAAATAGGACTAAGTTCAAAGCTTTTAGCCGAAGAAAGGGCAAAGCCAAATGTTAAAACGGAGATTTTAGTGTCGCGAGTTCGAATCCTTTGTAGAGTTGTAAATCCACTTGTAGGTCGAGGTTGTAGGGATGAAGGGTTAAGCCTATCTCTCGCTACCTTTGACTATGCAAGCCAGGGGCGCACAAATCTTTAATTAATATTCTGAACAATGTAATGGTATAACCTTTGAGAGTAATCGTGAACTTAGACTAGAAGATAGGAAATATTCTACGTTATATTTCATGGAAAAATAAAAATTGATACGATTTTCTAGCTAACACTTAGACCATTACAGGAGCTCTCAAAGTCAAATATAGATTAAAGATAAAAAATGACAGTCTGCCGGTCAGTCTTTTTAGTGAAGCTATTAGCTCGTTCCAAAGTGTACTCTCCGATGGAGAAGAACGAGTGAGAGCTCATAGTTAATTTTTAAATTTAATGAGTTCTCCCGCCTTGGGTGTGGTGAAATGGAGCGCCAGACTCTTACTTACCTACTAACGACCAACTAAGTATGCCAGGCTGCGCTTACTTATTACGCTATGCCCGTTCTCAACCAAATCTGATTAAATACAGGAATTAACAATAAAAATAAAACCTATACATAATTATATTTTATCCCATATCTTGCATTGTAGAAACATAGTACATGCATATATTTATGAGTCATCACCGATAAATAGGTTCGTTTCTCTCCTATTCAAAAATTTTACTTATAAAAGTACCAACGATAAATAATTGTAGGAACCTACTGCAGAGAAAATGACCTTGGAACATCAATGGTCGTTCATGACACCCCATCTTGGCGTGATTCTCACCTCTTGGTAAAAAGGATGTTTACATTCAATTAGTACAGAGATAATTCTTAAAATAGCATTATAATTATTAGTTCAAATATTTTTCATCTATGATCGACACTTTAGCGGTGCTCTGAAATATTTATTTTGTTAAAATACTTGTATTTAGTTCTTAGTGGAAACAACTACTGCGTTGTTTTTGCCGAGACTCTCCCGCCATACCTTCGAAATCCTTAAATATCCAAAATTTTTATCCCCAAAAGTCCCGCAACGCATTCGTGACTCCTTTGGTGTTGCGGGTGTCTTGGTGTACCATTAGGTATTCCGTCTGCTCGTTTGCCGACGTAGGCACCTATCACACAAAACAAAAAAATGTTTTTATTTGCATTCACCTAGTTAAAATTGAATAAACTTCAACCTCTTTGAAGACGCTCATCGACACAATATTGTCAAAAATTCAATGGCAAATGGTCTCGCAATATTTGAATTTCGATATAGAAAAAGTGGATACAATCCAGTTTTCAAAATAAATTAATATTTTTCAACTGAATTCACGAACGGGTCTGTTGTCAACAAGTTTGTTGTTGTTGTTATTTGTTTATTAATTTGCATTTTTTTTTATTCACATAATGTTTATTACAACATAGGATAGGGGACTAGAGTTTGCGAAAATCATCAAAATGACTTCTTTCGCCCAGATTTAGGAGAGAGAGAGTGTAAGACTCTTACTGACTAAAAACCTCATCGTTCCTTATCCTGCTCAATGCTAAGGCCGCGGTACCTTGCGGGTGAACATCGATCCTGTTGTGCCTCCATTCATGGTACTCTATTGGCTCTTAGAGGTACGCGCGTTAAGTCCTGAGCTTTCACAACGCGTCTTCTTGTTCCTATCATTTTCAACATGAAAAGAGTCTAGTTTTTCGTCTAACACATATAATGTACAAAACATATTAAAATCTGACACAATGTAATGTTACACAAATAAAAAGCTTTCAACTTATTAGTTCCACAGTACCAGTGAAAATTTTGACATGACACAACTGAAGTTGTAGTCAAAGAGCCGGTACGTATATTGTTAATAAGTGCTTAATACCCACTTAGCTGTCGATTACTCAGTAATCAGAGGCAGTAAAGATACTGTATCTGCCCAAGGTCTGGTTGTATGTAGGTAACAAGTAACTATGTACCGTAAAGCCTAGTGAGGGTAATTAAATTGCAACGTTTAGCAACATTTAAATGTCGGACAAGAGTCCGTATCTTGCCTCACTCGACCATTACATTCATTTTGGGATGTTGGTAAAGAAATAAGTGTATGTTTGGCGTACGAATATTGTATTGTATAAGTATAATGGTAAATGGTGACATGGATGTTCTTGTTGTGTGAAAATTTGTATGGTAGCTCTTTTGTTGGTATTGGTTTGTACAAAATTTGTTAGTCGATTGAGTCAAAAAATATTTTATTAAAATTTTGCAATGCATTTAAATGTTGTTTAATACTTGTATTCACACTTACATTAATCGATTTTACA